CCCAGCAGGCATGGTGCAACACAATGGCAGTGACTGACCAGGATACAACTTGTCTGGCAGGGAGCCATCTGGGGGCTGTACCACAGCCTCCTGGAGAGGGGATGGAAAGTCTAGGAAATTCATCCATCCCACTGTCAGGGGATTCAATGTGACCACCACATTCATATTCTCTACAGAGCACCAACCACTCTGTATCCCGTGTGCACTGCCCACTTTTCACTCAGGGAGGATGAAGTGAGTTGTGGAGCACTACAGTTGCTGCAGTCCATAAATGGAACTGCTCTATATGTGTGCCAGCTTTCCAAACACACTAAAAAAGCATTGCTATTCCATAAAAAATCAGCCCTTTTAAAGAAAATAAATGTAGGCATGTAGTTTGATTGCCACCTCCTGGCCATAGTGGGAACTACATCAGCGAGAGTCTTGGGCACAGTGGAGTCTGTGGTTGGGAGGGAGGGAACATTGGCTGTGACCTGGACTTGAAGGGACCTCACCTCTGAAGATAAGGCAGTGTTTTTTCACCTCATTATAATTTCCTGGCACATAAACCTTGACATCTTAGGTATATCAAATTGGAGACCAATCCCAGTCTAAGGCTAACATAAAGCAGCCTCATTAGATAGAGATGGTGGAGCTCTGTGTGTAAATACGAACACACACACACACACACACACACACACACACACACACAGAGGCATGCACAGAGCATAGAGTCGATTCCATTTGTCCTTCTATTTCATTGTTCAGAAACAGAACACAATGACTACTTCTAAAGTACAGAAGGTATATACATCCTTTATGCAATGTGTGGGTGTGTGCATATGTGTGAGTCTGTGTGTGAGGAGAAAACAGAGTGAGACCCTCTGCTCTGAGCTGTACTCCCCACTCTGTGAAATAAGAGCATCACACTGCTCATGTGCTATTACCTGCTTTAAATACCAGTCACAAGTTCCTGCATATGTGGCAGACTAATGTTGATGTATGCAAATGGAATTACAGGCTGGCCTTGCACTCAGACATCCAACTGCCTCTGCCTTGTGAATGTTTGTGCCACGCCCACCTGTTAAAAATACGCATTTCTAAAGGCAGTCTTCTTCTGGAGAAAGAATAGGGACAAGCAGTAGCTGCAGCACCTAGAGACTGATTTCACCTTGACTCTGCCTAAAGCCTACTCACTTGCTTCATCTCTAAACCTGCCAAGAGCAGTGCATGCTGTATAACAGCCATTTTCAAAGATACATTAAACTTTGGGTTCACCTTTCATTAGACAAATGTTAGATTCTTATTCTTTTGGAAATTCTGCTACAGTTAGTTGTAATTAGAAAAGTTTACATCTGAAAATTATTCATCAGCTGACACGTTGTTAAATTACTGAGTTTTACAATAACTAGTTTGGGTATTCAAACTATTATGTGTCAAAAACACGCGGAACAACTGATGTCAGTAAACGGAAGCACTGTGTCTCCATGCGGTCAGACAAATCCAGAGATGTTAGAGCAACGTCTCCACAAGGAAATTGCACAGCGCATACATGTGCTATCTGCCCTCTCCCAGACAAGGCTGCTCAGGGCGGCTCTCCAGCTGATAACTGCAGCATGGCTTCATCCCTCCTTCAATCCACTTCCATCCCTCCCCTGTCTTCTGAAACATCTGCACTGTCTCCACACACTCCCTCATCTCGCCCTCCTCAGGCCTTTCTCTATGCAGTGCCAAGTCACCTTCCACCAAAAGGAATCAAATCATGTCAATTCCATAACTTACGTTCCACACTGATCATATAATCCAAATGTCATACACCGCTGAAAACGACACACATCTTCCTTTCTATCCTATCCCCAAGCAGTGTCCACATTGTCTTCAAGGTTCTGGCCACTGGCCTTGTCCTCTGCTCTTAGATACACTGTTCTCCATGGGGGCAAGCAAGCCCACAACATGGTTTGTGCACAGCCTTGCTTCTTTTTGTCATTCAGGACTCAGATCACATGCTAACTTCTGAGACCTTTGAGGGGTAAAATCATGTACCACAATGCCCATCTCAACTATTTCCTATCCTCTTTATGATCTTTAAAACAGAAATAATACATGAAATTGCTCTGATTACTGATTTCATCTGCTTACTGACAGTTTACCTATCTAACACAATATACAAGGACCCCTGCTAGTCTTCTCAGTGCAGGAACAAGGAGCTCACAAAAGAGGCCAGTATGTGACTATCTGGATAAACATACATGAACGAATTCATTTGTCTATTTGATATGCCATGTAAGACACTGGTATTTAAGAGAACATGGTATGGAATTGAGCAGTCTGTGACTCCATATCCTGGAAGACAGAATATCAAACCCACTAGCAATACGTTTTAACATGGACAGCCACCAGAAGGAAGTGGCTATGCCACACCCCACTTCCCAGGGTTTGATTCAGTGTCTGTTGTGGACCCAGATATCTACCATTTTAATAAGTACTCCCTGCTAATGTGATGCAGTAAGGCATGGCCCATTCGGGGAAATGGTCTGATGGGGATGTCTTCCATTTCTGTCCTGGTCATTTAAAGGAACCCATGCAGGGTACAGTCATCTGGGGAGTCTATTAATGTCATTGTTCCACAGTGTGCTGCTATTGCTACTACCTGCTCAACAGGGATGTGTTCTTATAAGCCATCACCGATCCACTGCTGGTCACACGGATGGGAAGAGAAAAGGAAATGACTCATCTGGTGAGTCCCACATGATCTTGTCACTCTTGCTAGGTAACAGGCTGACAAGACCACACCACACTTGGTTCTTCTCCAGGAGCTGGTTCTGCATGGAGAGTTCACAGTTTTCTCCCTGTTCTACTAGAAGGCAGAGTAAGGGGAGAGAAAGCTCATGGAGAGGGGAGGAAGGCAGATGAGAACGCTCATGCACTCTACTGTACTGAATATAGAGATGGAGTAGTCTGTCTGCATCCAGTCAA